TCGTCCACCTCGTGAGCCTCAGCCTTAGCATGGTCTTTGCTCTTGAAGACGCCAGTCACGCCGTGAATGACCCCTTTTCCTGCTCCCATAGGGATGTGCCCTATTTGCGTCATTGCACGTCCTGCCGAAGAGAATGTAGAGGTGTTTTTCCGCGTTTTGACGATGATCTCGGGCTGGAACATTAAGCGGACTTTGAGGCTCCCCTTCTGCCCATGCTTGGCCGATGATAGAAGAATGTCACAGTCTGTAGCAGTAAATGGTTCGATATCAGCCAGTTCGATCTTGCCCGAACCCAGACTCTTAGCCTGTTCGATTTGATTCCAATCAAACACTTCGCAAGTGAAGTCGGCAGCAACACGCGAAGGCTGTGGAAAGTGTAAAAATGGCATTATAAATAGATAGAAACAAAGACATACAACTTGAACAGGGAAACTCTCATTCCACTCTGGAGAGAGCGTCTTTTTCTTTGTCTGTGACTTGTAAACTTTCTGGCCATTCAAGGTAAAGACGACAAATGGATCAGATTTGCCTAAATATCGCTCGTGAGCATAGTGTGAAAATGGTAGGCCAAACGATGTACCTCCTCTGTCAACGCCTTGGATCTCGCGACCAACGAGAAGATCTACGCGAAGGGTACCCTGATCTATCGACAAGTCAATGATCTGTAGACGATCAGGCAGCATTAGAACGAAATCACTCACTGTTGACGCTCTCTCTAGGCTCCAGCTTGATAGGTACTGGTACATATTGAGCCTCGACTTCCACCGTGGATTTTTTCTCATCGTCCTCCTTGTGCATGAGGGTAAACGTAGTGGGCCCATCCTTACACGGCACAGATAAATACGCCAATACAAGATACTTATAAGCAAAGTTGCCCACCAATGCCTTTTGCAAAAATTGCTTTGCGTCACCCTTCCACTCCGCAACGATTTGGTCCCTGTCGCCCTCATCGGCATCGTTCAAACGGAACCAGACGCGTGAGAAGTCGAGCTCCTTGATAAAGCCTTCACCAATGTACTCCCAGTGGGCACGATGGCTACGAGGTCGAACAGTACTAAATGCAGGCCAATAGGCCTCATCGAGGAGCACCTCGAGGCGGGCTTTCTTGTGCAATTGCCCCGAAATGACATTGAAGATGATAATGCCTGACTCTGGATTAAAAGATCAGCGCTACTCGGATGGAATGAAGGGGAATTATATTGAACGCACGGTGCTGGAGCAATTCTTCTTTGGACATTTCGATACCTTCCTCTTCCGGTTGCTCCTCCTCTACCTTAGTACCATTGGGCGCCTTTGGGATGTCATGGGCACGGTTGGCAGTCGGCGTAGTTGGCCGTGAACTTCCGTTGGATTCCTCGTGCTCTGGTCTTTCGTCGAGATCGAGGGGCTGAGATACAGTAATTCCCTCGGGGACGCGGTGATTGGAGCGCTCGTGCTTGAGAGATGAAGTAGAAGAATGATCATCGACAATGTCTCCATCTGCCTCCACACCGCGTTGGGCCGCACGCTCAATAAGATTACCGCCGGAATCGAAACCAACGCCCTTGAGAGCGATGGCAGGGATGAACTCGGCTTCGTAGTGAAGTTGACCCTTAAAAGAGCCGTTGTCGAGATGTATGGGGTCGACAGCGACTTTCTTGCCGGTGGAGATGTAAGGGAAGTCGCCGTCGGCCGGCTTTGCAAGGTCGGATAGTTTAAGTTCGACGTACCCAAGGGAGCGGTCCTATGAGGGCTGTCAGAATGGGGCAAAGAAGGAACCAAAAAAGGAAATATTACCTTCGTGAGATGTTGGTAATCCATGCACTCGAGCATCAGGGCCTGCACTTCTAGTCAGCTTCTAGCGTCTTACTGATAGGTCTTCCATGCTCACCTCCTTCAACGAATGCACTACCGTCACTGCTCAGCGCCAGCCAGTGCAAGACTAGAGGCACACTTACCTGGAATGTAGATGATTTGGTCCCACTCCGGATTCAAGTCTGCGCATCCCACTAGTTAATACTAATCAGATAGATCATGAAACGTAACACTGACTATTGTTGACCACTTCTGTGCGTCCTTGTGTGATATTATTGTTTTGTACCCGCACATATGGATCGCTCTTCCCAGAACACATTAGTTAGATTCGCACGCGCAACAAGCCGAGTGCTTGCCTTCCCCCCCAATGCTGCTTCGACATTCCTGTATCGTCGCTGTTAGCGCCATCATACAAATACCGAGAAAGACCGCGCACTTGACATCCATCGCCTTCTGCAACCACAATCTCACAACTCCGATTGGGGGTACGTATTGGTCCGCTCCATGCACGCTACCAGGCATATTGAGTGGTTTCCACTCCGCACTCATCCTGATGCGACCGGTCTTGCACCCACTGAGAGGCCACCAGTCCCGACCCGCCTCCTTCTTTGCGTCCAGCAAGTCCTCCAACTTCACGCGCATATACCCAATGATCGGGTCCTTCAGAAGATCTCGGTCGTCCACCACCTTGATTGTAATCAGGGACGATAATCGATCCGTACAGAGAAATTCTGTGCTCGACTCCCAGACAGGGCTATTAGTATGCTTCATCTTGTTAGTTGAATGCATCGGCTTAGAATCTGAGCCTAGGTACACCCGCGTGAATGGGTTCAGCTCGCCTGAAATCGACTTCGAGTGGTCCAAATCCTTTGCTTGATGAATCGTCAATCGGACAATACCAACCTCTGTTACACCACGGTCAGAAAATCGTGCTGTTAAATGTGCCAACATAACTGTCACATACTGGTATCATTAGGCACCTTTTCCATGCCACCTGTGTCTACTGATGGCTTGAGCACAGGGTAGAATGTCACGTCAAAGCGGAGAATGCCCTTCTCTTTGCCCTCCTTCTGTATGGGCGCTTCAATGCCTTCGTATGTCCCCTCCTCTCGAAGCTTGGACAAATCAAACATCGCACTGCCAATCTCCGTGTCCTTCCTATGCTCATTGTAGTCCATTACAGATAGAATCAATGATTCGGTGAGTGAATTGACAAGCAAAAACTTTGTCTCCATCCAAGTCGGATTGTATCTGTACAGGCGCACAACAGTCAGCACTTTCAAAAGACATCCAAACATAAGACGTACGTGCTATGCTTGAACTTTGACCTCGCCAATTCCGCCCTGTTATTGATGCTGAAGCTGACGTAGGGGTCCGGAGTGCCTCCACCAATCTTATTGCTTTTGATGCCGCGAGCGGATTGCACCGTAATCTGCAAAACACCGATAGCCGTGTCGAGGGGCTCACCAGAAAGCAGCTGCTCAAGATTAAGCGTGAAGACATTGGGATCGTACATCATAGGACCTAGTGTGCTGTGCACCATATCCCGGATGAACGACGACAATCCAGGGATCTACATGTGGATCAGCTGAAGAATGCGGTATATCTGACCGCATAGACTCACAAAACCAATGTCAAAACCAAAAGTCTCGCCACCGATTGGCTTGAGCACCCAGTCAAACACGGGCTTCTCCATGAATGACAAGTCTACAAGCTGCACATGCGGGAATGTCGTCATCAACTTTAGGCGCACGCGAAGGACGCCTGTAAATGAAATATCCTCAAGCAGAACAGGCATTGACGCGCTCGCAATGCCCTTGCCAACGCGCACTGACAACACGATTTTGGGGTTGACCTTGTCCTGGGCCTGTTTCTCTGTAAGCTCGGATACGTCGTTCGGGGTGAACGACAAGCCCCAATCCATTAGTACGACATCGTCTACAGTACGCGAAAACGTTTTCACTTTGTCGATCCGTGGCGCCTTCGTACCAAGGGTGAATGTGCTCAGGCGGATGGAGTCGAGGAACGCGGGACAATTTGTGCTCAAAATTTGATCGACGGAAGCTATGATCGTCTGGGAAAGCACAGGCTCGTAGATAAGCCAAAATCGGTCAAGAAAGTTGTTGATCCAGTCGGCGGACTCAAACTCGGCGTCCAGTCGCGTTTTGACGAGTTCCCTTTGGATGTCATCCCGTGCACGTCGCCGAACACGTGCCATGGATGTCGTATAGTACGTGTTGCAGAATGCAAGGAGGAGAAAGAGCCAACCCCAACCAAAGTTGAAACGTGTCAGGAAGTGCGACACCACGACCGCCTGTTATATACTCATGAACATCATCGACTTAAATAACAATGAGGTACGTACCGCCACTACAAGGGCCGCGTTATGATACCAATCTCCATAGTACTGCTCATGCACGAAGGCAGCCAATACCGACTTTTCCTTCTCCTCTCCGTCGCTCTTCGTGGGAGTGTCAAGTCCGCCAACTGCGCGCCATCCCACTTTATACCAGTCCGGGATGACAGGTGCAGGACTCGAAGGCATTGTCCCTGGGACCTGCGGTATGTCAGGGGGCGGTGCTTCCTCCTTATGCAGTGAGTCGCTGTCAACCATCTCATCCAAATGCTCTGTGATTGTAATTGTAGGTATAACCTGGCTATTGCTCATGTCCACAGGCAGCTCTTAAGATAGGAAAGCGTGTCATGATGGTGGGGTATGGACTATGAACACAGCACGCACCCTTGCCTCCTGAACCAAAGTCGCCGCCCTGTGGCTTGAGCTGGTCTCTGGGCTTGCCCGCGGCAGCAGCCTTATCCTGTGGGGACGCATCAGGGTTGAAGGTATGCACGGCGACGCGGTCTTTGGCTGTGTCTGCGTGAACAATGCGGTCGACCTGGGCCTGGGCCTGTTGGGATGGCGGCGCGCCGTGTCCGTTCGCCGCCATTGCTGTGGAAGTTGGCGAGCGAGGGTTGGGTGGAGGAGTTGAAAAAAGTGAATAAGGTGAGAGTAAGGTATCGGGAAGCGAACGAGCGTGGCGGGAACGAGGAGGAAATGGAGAGCTTGAATAGGGACAGGACGAAACAGGCGCCCGCCAGGCGAGCCCTGGGCGCTTTTCGATGACGTTCGAGTCCCCGGGACACCCCAGACACCGACAACTGCTGACATAATCATTGTACGCCAAAAATAGCTGTGGCTGGCCCGGCGAGAGGATTCAAATACTCAAAGTTGATCCTGAGGCCTCAGTCAAGTTTATCGACTGCTGCAGGCGGCGACCGACTCGACGAGGTCTTGCGAACGACGGCCAACATGCTCTCCAATTGGGGCGGCGCGGCTCGCTGTATTGCTTCTGTCATCTCCGTCTGCGGCAGGGCTGCGCACAACACTGCTTAATCTGCGCACTGCGCATCGTGTCGAATGGGGTTTGACCACGGACGACATATCCATCGCCTTCGTACCACGCCTGGCGAGGTCTGCACCTGACTACAATCTCCACAGCACGGCGATTTCTGGGGGTCCGCTGACGGCTCCCATTGTCCAGGAACCTAGTCCCTATCATTGTGTCCACCTGTCAATAGTGGTTCCTCTCCACTCCCCCCTTGCAGAGATCGCGCGAAAAGGGCGTTTTTGTAGCCATATGCAAGTTGTGGGTTTAGCTGGTTATAGCGCCACATAGGTGTCCTTGGGTGTCTCTCACTTGGAAGCCCTCTCGTCAAGACTCGAGGCCTCTAGACTATGGGAATCGCCGGTATCGGTATCACTGCACGCGTGCGATCGCTGGTGGTCAATTTCATTGATGCGACCCATCCATATGCGGGATGAGGAACAAGGTATGCATCTCCTATATTGTGCCACGGTGCTGTTCATATTTACACATAGGCTGGGGGGGTGGGGAAA